GTGTTAGCTGCTTTTCGTTTACGTGGTCTTGATTTAAAATTGTAAGTAAAACTTGATAGTACTTTTTCTTTTATAATAAATATGATTTAGTGATGCATCACAATTTTTGGTTGAATTAGCATCGACTGTACCATCAGCTTCATTAACTTCATGGTTAGATCAATTAATTGATTTATTAACAAAACGAAATCGTATGTTTAAATCTTATTTTATTTTTTGTTCATCGGATAGTAATAATATAGTTTCATCGTCGATTGTTGAAAAAATACTTTTGACAAATGTTGTTCAAGAATTAAGAGCTCAACTTTCAAATGATTCTCAGTTTGTATTATTATTTAATGATCTTTATATTCTATTTTTTGTTTTTCTAATGTAGTAGCGAAGCTCTTTTTTCAGTTCTCAATGCTTTTTCAATACCAAAATTTATATATTCACGATCAATGAAAAAATTCATTGAGTATTAATTTTATTTATAAGAAACATTTGATTTTAATTCATCATTTGTTTGTAGAAAAGATATTGATAATGATCTATTTGGAACTGCTCGAACACGTTCTGAAGTATTCTGGGAACGATATGATTTGTTATTACAAGTAAAACTATATTTATAAGCAAATCTTAGTTTATTTATATAAAAATCTATTAGCGAACATTACGACATGATGTTTTTTCACAAGTTAATTTAGCATCAGGATCATCGAATACAGGACAAAAATATCAAGTAAAATCGTATTTTGATAGTAGAAAATATATTCTTAATTATCCGTATCTATTTTCTAGTTGAAAACTATCGAACATTTATTAGCTGCTGGTTCGAAATCAGAAAAAATTGTTGTACTTGGAATGTTATCACAATTACATGAGGTAATATACTATATATGTTGAAATGAATGATAACATTTTAATTTTAACATAGGCAAAATATGATTTACAAGATCCAACTGGTGTCATATCACTTAACCTAGAAAATGCAGTAATTATTTATTTTTTCATATTATTTGAATGTTTTATTTTGATTTTTTCAGACATTTCATCCAGGCTTTTATTTTGAAAATTGTTTCGTCTTAGTTGAAGGACAAATTGATGATGGAATATTTAATGTTACAGGTATTGGTTTACCACCACCAGAAACAGCACAAAATACAAGATCATACTTTGGTGAAATAAATATAACAGGAAATACTCATGATCAAAGTGCAAAAACAAAGATTCGACTTAAAGAAATTGAAGAAAAATCTGATGATGCTTTTGTCTTTCTTTCGGATGTTTGGCTTGATGATAAAAAGGTTTAATTTAGAATAATATTTAATTTATATTCCTTAAATTTTTCTTAGGTTATGGAACGTATTGAACAATTATTTGATGGATTTGCTGATCAACCACCGTTTGCATTTATATTTTGTGGAAACTTTCTTTCTCGACCAACAGCTAATCTATACATCAACGATCTGTCAGATGCTTTTAAAAATTTTGCTAAACTTGTTGCAAAATATCCGGATATTTGTGAACGTACACATTTTATTTTTGTACCTGGTCCACAAGATCGACATGCGCCAAAAATCTATCCTCGGTTCGTTATATTTTTTCTATTAGATACAAAATATATGTATTTATTTTAGTGCACCATTTCCATCAACAATTAATGATATATTAAAAAAACGTATTCGTCATCTTCATCTTGCTACAAATCCTGTTCGTATACAATATTGTACACAAGAAATAGTTATATTTCGTGAAGATCTTCTTCAAAAACTTTGTCGTTATTGTATCAAATTACCTTCAGATAATTTACCAATGCATGTAAGATTTTTTCAACAATCTATGACAGAAACAAAAAAAATTCATCTTTAGCTTTGTCATACGCTTGTTACTCAAGCACATTTATCACCATTGCCTGTTTATATGACACCAATCTATTGGTCATATGATCATGCACTTCATTTATATCCATTACCTGATTTAATTGTTGTTTGTGATAAATTCAAATCAATTACAGATACAATTGCTGATTGTACTATTATTAATCCAGTAAATAATAACAATTCTTTGAATAAAATAATATATATATATATGATTTTAAATAGGGTTCATTTGCAATTAATAAATATTGCTTCAAAGTATATTTACCAGCAACACGTGAAATCGAAGATAGTCAAATAACAAATATGTAGATGTAATGAAATTAAAAAAAAACAAAATATATGTATTTTTTTGTGTGAATAAATATCTCAACATTTCTATATGTAGTATAAATTGTTGAATTCTTTTCTCTTTCTAGATTTAAATAAATAATGGCTAGTAATAGTCGTCCTAGTCTTGATGTTCTTGTACCTTTAGTAATGATAGAAAATAATATAGTAAATGAGAACAACGATAATTTATCATCTGAACCACAAAAAGGTTTGAATCGAAGTTATTTATATAATTTATTATACAAATGAACATTTATTTATAGAAATACTTCGTTATTTTGAATCGGGTGATATTGTTCTCATTCGATTAGAATCACAATGTTTACCTGCTATTGTCTTTAACATTAATGGTCTTGTTATGAAATTTGATAGTAAATTAAGATGAAATTATAAAAAAAAAGTTTAGAAATTTAATTCTATTGATGTTTAGTTGATCGACAATTGTATCATGTTTGTTTATTGGATAAAGAATTTACAGAACAATGGATTGATTCAACTGATATGATTATCTATTCAGTACCAGTATGAATATATATTTTATTAGTTTTAGTTTAAGAAATGAAAAAGATTTGTCTAAATTTTAGATGATAGCAGAATGTGAAGATGAACAAATAATGTTTATGTGGTCGACAGCTAATGAACTTCTTGAAATTTCGAATACGATTGAAGATAAAATTCGATTAGAAGAATTTAAAAGACGTTTTAGTGAAGTTAAATGTCAACGAATATCAAATTCATCGATGAATATTTCAAGAAAAAGTAGAAGAAGTCGTCATTCAAATCAAAAAACAATTTCACAACAAGTAAAAAAAATGTTTTTTTTCAATTTCTATTTATTACGAGTTTTCTTCTAGATGATTTCTTTTCCACTAACTACTTGTGAAAAATTACATATTATTGATTCTATTTATCAATTACCACAATGTACATTCGTTACTGCAAGTCGTACTGCCGAAGATACATATATAAAAATTATTTGTATAAATAATCGTGAAAATATTCAATCATGTTCCACAGGAATTATTTCTGATCAATGGTTTTTTACATTTGTTAGTGAACATATGAGTTATTTTCAACAGTACTCAATTAATTGGTTACCAGAACTCGAAGCAATGATAGATAATATGGAGAATCAAAATGATTTATATTCGTTAATTTCACTAATGAAGGAATCAATTTGATATGTTTCCTTTTCTCCTTCTTTATATATGACATTTGTTTGTGCGTTTCTTATCAAATACTTCAGGTTTCTTTTCTCTTCGTTCTATTACATATGCAATAAAACATAATAGTAAATACTTTTTCAAAATCAACAGTATGTTTTATTTATATTTTCCATGTAACACAAGTCAAAAGGTAAGTGCTGGGGTCCTGCACTTTTCCCCCTTTACTAATAGTTACTCGTTGTATTTTTGATAAGATTTGTCAAAAAAATTCATCTGATATTGGATTAGTCCGTTGATATCGACACTATAGTCAGGGT